AGGCAGCAGGAGTACCCCGCAGCCCCGCAGCCCCGCAGCCCCGCAGGGACGACGAAAGGCCAGGAGGGCCCGAGGTGCATCCCAAGAAGTTCCCGCCTGTCAATCCCATCTTGTGCCTTTTCCAGGACCAAGCATGGGTGTCCTTGGTAGGTGCTTTGGGGCAGAGAGTTCACCTCTGACCTGGTTGATTGTGGCTTCTGGATGCTTCCCTAGCTCTTACTGCATCTTCCTGGTGTTAGCCAAGTCCATAAAAAGACACTGCCCCACAGTCTCCCTCCCCGACCAGTAAAGGAACAGCCCCTCCCCTCTAGGCCTTTCTTTGCTTTATTGTGCCAGGGATTTAATGATCAAGTTAAGTACAATCCCTAAACCTCCAAACTGTATGTGAAATGTCTGTGTGTCCCTACATGTAGTTTTCCCAGGAGAGCTTCCGTAGATTTTATTTAAAGATCAAATAGCTAAAATCAGAGCTTTGGGCCCCATCAACACTACAAGCACTGACCGTCTTTAGGGTAACCGAGTGGCCTGTTCTTATTTGAGAGCTGGGACTGAGGGAAGGGTTAGGGAGAGGGATTCCTTCAAATTCTGGGAGGACAGCATTCATGTACCTCTCACATTTGCCTGGGTTAAGGGTTGGTCTGTTTTTCACTATTATGAAATCAAATTAGTTTACAGATATGTAGAGCAGGAAAGGAAGATGAATCTTTGTGAATGAAATGTCTCTCTGCCGCTCTTCTTGATAACCAAGTGCAACCCCAGCTGCAGTTTCCAAGGACTCTGAAGGAATCTGAGAGGTGCCCTGTTTCGAGTTTATATGTCCCTGGTTTACTGGCAGCTTGAGAAGAGGAAAGAATGTTAACTCAGCCTTGAAATAGCACCGGAAAAACCTAGGGTGTGTGTTGGGAGGTAAAGGAACTCTGATGGGGTGGGGTCGGGGAAGTTGCATTAGGAGCTTAAGGCAAAATTAACAGATAACCCTAGAAAAATCACATTTCACCATTAATCCCACTGTTCCCACCTCACGGGCAACAGTGTGCTGTGACATAAAGTAGTCTGTGCTGCCACTTGAGTAGATGTTATTTCTGGTCCTGCCTTCCATATGTGCTGAAGCCTGATATCCCCATCTCTGAGGGTCACGGGCAAGTTGGCATTTAGGGTAGCGGTCCTCAAGCTGTGTGTGTCCAAAACACTGATGTCCTGCAACTAGCCTCAAGCGATCACAGTCTCTTCCCAATCTCAGAGAAAAAAAATTAGAGCCAAAATGATATGTTTTCTTTCTTTATAAAGTATGCCAAATCTGTGGTGTTTGCTCTTGCTTGTGTGTTATTTAGTTCAAACACATATCCGGTTACGTTGAAACGTAATGGATCATTATTTTTCATTTATAGAGTCCGTAATACTAGGTGGTCTGTAACCTCTCTCTGATTGAGATCCACTGTTGTAGCAAAAAGTAGGGAACACATCACATTATTCTTCAATGTCCTTTGTTTTGTTCTGTTTTTTAATGAAAAATTTTTTTTTTTTTTTATGATAGTCACAGAGAGAGAGAGAGAGAGAGAGAGGCAGAGACACAGGCAGAGGGAGAAGCAGGCTCCATGCACCGGGAGCCCGATGTGGGATTCGATCCCGGGTCTCCAGGATTGCGCCCTGGGCCAAAGGCAGGCGCCAAACCGCTGCGCCACCCAGGGATCCCCTTCAATGTCCTTTGAATGTAAATGATTCTTCTGTTTACATGTGGCGCCCTGGGTGGTGGCCGGGAATCGCACAGGACCCTGGAACCTGCCTCATTCTACTTTGCTCACATCCTGAACAGTTTTGTCCGCTGTTCCCAACTTGACCCTTATTTTGTAAACTCAAACCACTCTGTTGCTGAGGTTTATGGAAGAGGGGTTACATTTCTTAGTCAACCTCTCCTCCCTTACAGTTGGTCATTCTGTCTTCATTAAATCGAACTGTTGTTTTTCAAAACAATGAGGTGGTTGTTTCTACCTACAACCTGTCTTTTCCTGATGTGATTGTTATTTAAAATGGCCCCATCACATGACCAGGGGCTTATTGGGCCGTGACAGAAATTATAATTGTGCTTCTTATTTAAAAAGTGGTTAAAGAAGCAAACTTTAAAAAAAATAATATTTGCCACTTCATTAATCCTTCAGCTCAAGATAAAATTTTGCTGATGTCACTCATTGTTCTTTTTTCCAGTAAATATATATTGAGCACTTTCTCTGTGTCAGCCCTTGGGCTTCCAGGTGATTCCATGTTTCTGCTTTCAAAGAGTTGACAGACAAGCAGCCTGGGCTTGAACCAGGACTTACTAAGAAGTGATTTCTGGAAGTGCTGCCTCAGGGACTCTCTGACCATGACCTCTTTCTTTCAGGTTTAAATACTTGCACATGAGCCCATTTAAAGAACCTGGCCAAGGAAAAAGCTGTCTGCTGCAGTTTCCTGGGCTCAGAGCACCCCTGCTGGTCAGCAGTGCCTGACTCCTATCACCTCCAGTACTGTGTAGGTCATAGTGCTAGGAATATTGTGTCCAGCGAGAGCAAATTAACTTGACAAGGAGGGAAATGTTTGTTTTACATCTGTAATACACAGTCCCAGCGAGCACTGGCCTCTTCCCTGGAGGATCCTAACGGCTGCCCGGTGGCGTGTTTCATATCCCTAGGCTGGTCTTCCCCAATCCATATGGAATAAAGTCATAAATGTTTAAAGGCATCCTCATATGCATCCTGAGTGGGAGCTGGAAGAGTGAATTCAAGGCCAACAAACAGGGGAGGCTCCTACCGGTTTCAGATTAGTGAAGTTGGGCCAGCCTGAAATATATTTCTTTACTACACTGAGGGAAAGCTTGAAATTGTAGATTTTGGCACCAGGTAATAGTAATGATGATGGCAGACAATGATATAACAGTATGTGCCAAGCATCCTTCAAAACACTTAATGTACATTAATATATTTACTCACTTAACCTCTCTTAACCCAAAGAGGTGAGTACCATTATCATTGACAGTTTAGCCCGGCATCACAATTTATGATGTTTGATTTACTTAGCCTTCCGGGATACATTCAAATTCGACCTTGTGATTTTAGAGCACTTATCTCAATTCTTGCCTATGCATTGTGAGAGGCAGCCTAGCTCCACACACAGACTGCCCTAGTCTGTATCTTGGTTCACTCCCAACCAGCAGGGTGACCTTGAGCAAGTCTCCACTTCTTACTGCCTCAATTTCCTCTGTAAAATGGGCGTGATCACAGAACTACTTTGCCAGGTGACCATGAGGACTGAATGGATTTATACACGTAGGACACTTAGAGTAGTAGTGCCTTGTACACAGGAGGCGCTATTATTTTCGTTATCAGCTACATTTTCTTCTGGGCTTCATTCCCACTGCTCCCTAATACAACAGCCATGCCGAGCTACTTGAGCTCCCCTGAGCCTTCTGAACTCTTCATATATCTCAGTGGCTTTGCACATGCTATTCCCTTTGCCCAGAATGTCTTTCCCTTCCTATTGCTACCTTCAGCTTAAATATTCCTTCCTAATGACCTTCCTTTAGTGCCCTCCTCCCTTCACCAGGTAGCCATCCCCGCGCTTCCTTGTGGTCTCAGGGGCTTCGTTCTATTCATCTATCAAAGGACTTAGTGATGAACAACTACCCAACATTTACTGAGTGCTTACCATGTGTTTTTCTTGCTTTTATATATATATATATATATAGACAGCTCCATGTGGTAGGGTTATATTTCGTTAAAATTATGTCCATGTCCATCTCCCCCGGTAGACTGTGAGAGTGGCTTATACATCTGTGTGTGTTATTCATTTTGTATCTCTAGGAATTGGCAGAGTGCCTAATTAATACACAGTGGGCACTCCATAAATGTGTAAGTGGATGCATTTTACCAACATCTATTTACAACCAAATAAAAAGCTAATTTTCAGTAATTCTTCTTTGAAATAATCTTCATGCTTTTCTCATCACAGAAGTTCACTGACAGAATTTTAGAAAAGACTGATAAGTAATAAGAAAGAAGTTCAAATCCCACTGCTCCCAGCCCTGGAGGGCTCAGCCATGTGCTTAGGGACACACAAGTTCTCAGCGGCAAAACTGAGAATCGAGGTCAGGTAGGCTGGCTACAGAGCCCAAAGCTCTTACCGCTGCGTGAATCTGCTGCTCGTCCTCCCCCCAGCAAACAGACATGCCCTCCCATGAACAAATTATGTTAGCTAGTAAAATAGGTTGGAAGAGCCGACACTTGAAAATGAAATCCACCATACATACGGTGGGGCAAGGCATGAGATCTACATTTAAAAAATGGCCAGTATCCTGTCTTGTCATGCCCTCCCATATCCTGTTCCATCACACATTTGGGGGAATCTGGTTGGAAAGGGCACAGTGAGCTTAGGTGGAATAGAGGAGAGTTTCTAAATCAGACAAACACAGGTCCGAACCCCAGCTGTGCCACTAGATGCCTTACCAGGGACAGGTTGCAAAACCTCCCTCAATCTTTGTTTCTTCTGTAAAATAGAGATAATAAGAAACACTTCTCAGCATCTTGTGAAGTTTAGAGGTAACACGATGGGTGCAGTGCCTCCTGCTTGATTAATTGTGGGTCTTGTTGTGAAGCCTCTAATGGTGACACCCTATGGCTTCCCCAAACAGCAACCTTGCCAAATGGTTTTCCACATCTATTTGCATTTGTTTTTTCCAATCCTTCATTTTAGTTCTGGTGGTAATTTAACTTTTATATTATTATTAGATGTCTTGCCTCACAATAGTTTTCTTAGAAATTCAATCTCTTCTCCACAGGGTCTCTTTGAGATTAAAGAGAAAGAAGTGGCAAATTTAGGATCTTAGAGCAATTTTCATTTAAAAGAAGATCACTGTTTTCATTACCCCATCATTAATGTTTTCTATTTTCCTTTATCAGCGAGTTATTTCAAAGTCGATTTGAATTGCCAAACCGAACTCTTGTTTTCCTGCAAGATGAAAGGAGACAGCCATGAATGAGCCACTAGACAATTTTGCAAATGCTTCTGACTTCTCCGATTATGCAGCACCGTTCGGAAATTGCACTGACGAAAAAATCCCACTCAAGAGGCACTACCTCCCTGTTATTTATAGCATCATCTTCCTGGTGGGCTTTCCAGGGAATGCAGTAGCAATTTCCACTTACATTTTCAAAATGCGGCCCTGGAAAGGCAGCACGGTCATTATGCTTAACCTGGCCTGCACAGACCTGCTGTATCTGACCAGCTTCCCTTTCCTGATTCACTACTATGCCAGCGGTGAAAACTGGGTCTTTGGGGATTTCATGTGCAAGTTTATCCGCTTCGGCTTCCATTTCAACCTGTACAGCAGCATCCTCTTCCTAACCTGCTTTAGCATCTTCCGGTACTTTGTGATCATTCACCCAATGAGCTGCTTTTCCATTCACAAAACTCGATGGGCCGTGGTGGCCTGTGCTGTGGTGTGGATCATTTCACTGGTGGCCGTCATTCCCATGACCTTCCTGATCACATCCACCACCGGGACCAACAGATCTGCCTGCCTTGACCTCACTAGTTCGGATGACCTCACCACCATCAAATGGTACAATCTAATTTTGACAGCAACTACTTTCTGCCTTCCCCTGGTGATAGTGACACTTTGCTATACGATGATCATCTACACCCTAACCCAAGGACCTCACAATCACAGCTGCCTTAAGCAGAAAGCTAGAAGGCTGACCATTCTGCTCCTCCTCGTGTTTTATATATGCTTTTTACCCTTCCACATCTTGAGGGTCATCCGGATCGAATCTCGCCTGCTTTCAATCAGCTGCTCCGTTGAGAATCAGATCCACGAAGCTTACATTGTTTCTAGACCCTTGGCTGCCCTGAACACCTTTGGTAACCTGCTACTGTACGTGGTGGTCAGTGACAATTTTCAGCAGGCCATCTGCTCGATGGTGAGATGTAAAGCAAGTGGGGATCTAGAGCAAGCAAAAAAAAGCAGTTACTCAAACAACCCTTGACATACTTCAGCTAGTTAACCATGAAGAAGGCCTGCTGAGACTTTAACTTCTAAGAAGTCCAGAATAACTCTCTCAGTGACTCTCAGTAAATATTGTATGTCCAGTTAACTATGTGCCAAAGCTAGGACTGGGCTACCAGGAGTTCTTGGCAACCTGTTTATTGAGATCTTCCCTAGAGTCAATGTAAGAATGGGACATGCGCTTATCAGTAGAAGATTCACATGTAGAATCAAAACTACTGGAACTCAGGGACATCTTGAAAAACATCTAGTCTCACCAACTTACTATATAGAAATAAAACTACTGGGATCCCTGGGTGGCGCAGCGGTTTGGCGCCTGCCTTTGGCCCAGGGTGCGATCCTGGAGACCCAGGATCGAATCCCACGTCAGGCTCCCGGTGCATGGAGCCTGCTTCTCCCTCTGCCTGTGTCTCTGCCTCTCTCTCTGTGACTATCATAAATAAATAAAAATTAAAAAAAAAAAAGAAATAAAACTACTAGTTTTGGGGCATGTGGGTGGCTCAGTCCGTTTAGCCTCTTCCTTCAGCTCAGGTCATGATCTCAGGGTCCTGGGATTGAGCCCTGCATGGGACTCTATGCTCAGGGAGGAGTCTGCTGCTCTCTCTTCCTCTGCCTCTCCCCCCACTCATACTCTCTCTCTCTCTTCCTTTCTGTCTCTCTCAAATGAATAAATAAAATCTTCAAAAAAGAAAACTACTAGTTTTAGTACTTTTATAAAAATTGAAAGTTCACACACTTGACCCAGTTAACTTAATGCCAAGACTGGAGAAATCCACTCTTCTCACCCTCGGTTTCCTGTTCTTTCATTTGGGCCTGTCTGTATTGAACCCTTAGACTATCCAAGGCAGCACTTGTCTCTTTTCCAGTATTCTGTTTGTTTTCATTTCATGTCTTTAGGACTTTTTTTCCTCAAAACTTTGCTTTGAGATGATTAAACTGTGTGTCTCACTAGGCTTTCATCAGTTTTGTAGATTCAAGCCTGCCAGTACAATACACTTGAGACAATTCAAAGATCTTGATGCAGGTGGCTGACATACCCATGAGATATTTGGGAGCATTATGTCTTTATTGCTGTAGACCATTTTAAAAGTTGTAACTGAACTGAGGAAAATTACCAAGCTGTCTTAGTGATTATCAACACATCCTGGGAAAGAAAGGAGGGGCCTCTTTAGGGGAACAGAAGTACTTTTAAATATCCTGCACATATCGGGTAATAAGTAAAATCTAACATTGTTTTGATTTCTGTGGAAAACCATCCCAGGAAACACCAATTCTCTTTAGATATCTTCCTTTTTTGTAATTCTCTTAAAATATGTTATCTATTTATTGTAACAGCTAGAGCTATTTTTGAGTTATGTGTGTGCTTAATTATCCCTAAGTGTAAATATTTGAGAAAATGCCTAGTCTGGATATTTAAAACCTTAGTAAATGTGTTGATACAATTAATAAACTAATTTAGAATCACTGAATAAGCTGGTAATATTTTTCTGTGAAAATGCGGCTTTACCACCATCATATTTACAGGAAGCTTCTGTTCTCTGGGTTTAGGGAGAAAAAAAATTTTAAGAGTCAGTTTTAGAGTAAGGCTGGAATAGATGGTTCAAACAGAAGAAGGAGTACCGTAGGAAGGCTTTATGACTTTCAGGTGCTTCTAGAACGTTAAATCTGACTTAGACCTGAGTGAGGACGTTTCTAGGAACCTGTGCCAGGCATGCAGGGGGAAGAAAGACAAAAACCAATGGCTCCGCATATGGGCGTTTCTGGATGATGACACTCTCTCCACCATCCACCTTCTGGTGCCTTTCTATAGCGTGAGGAATGAACCCTTTGACTGGAGGGCTTGACTTGCTCACACACGCTGGCCACACAGAGCATGGAGCAGCCTCCAGAGGTCCACTGGAAACCTGGAGGTTGTGTAGCTGTCCTCTCCTGTCTCCCAAATGCCCAGACCAGCTCTGGGACCCTCACAAATGTGTGGCCAGGTGCTTTTATACCGCAGCTATTTTTTTAGGTTACTTATTTAGTTATTCCTGAGAGACACACAGAGAGAGACAGAGACATAGACAGAGGGAGAAGCAGGCTCCCTGCAGAGAGTTCAATGTAGGACTCGATCCCAAGACCCTGGGATCACACACTAAGGCAAAGGCAGATGCTAAACCACTGAGCCCTGAGCCCACTCAGGCGTCCCTATACCATAGCTATTGTTATTCTAGCCCTGGACGCAAAACCCTTTCCTCTCCCTCTGTGTTTATCTTTCCTTATTTCAAAGATTTTGCCCACCAGAAAAAAAGCTACCTCCACTTCCCTTAGGTCTATCTCAACTTGTCCCTATAGAATCTTTTTTCCTTTTCTTTCTTCCCACCAGTGTACAGAACAATAAATCATTTCCCTTTCTTTTCTTTTTTTTTTTTTTTTTATCATTTCCCATTCTGATACTAATTCTTCCAGTGTCTTTGGTCCTTATTCTGCTCTCTTAGGGACCTTGCTCTGACATTTAATCCCACTTTCTCAACTTATTAACATTTCTAATACCTTAGTTTGAGAACATGCATAATTTTCCTTTATCCTCAGAGTACCTTCCCTTATTTGACTGTATTGTCCTTCTCTTATCTGACCTGCTCCCTGCAGTTATGGGTCAGGTGCAAAAGACTGTCTGCCCTCCAGGGTTCTGCTGATAGAATATAATCACAAAGATCCAAGCTAAATTGGATTCAAAGGGTCAGTTTTATTTTCCAAAGTAAAGAGTTCTGGGCTAATTGTGTTTGGAACCGAAGCCAAAAAAAGAGATTGATGATACTTTCGAGACTAGAATGGGACCCAGATGACCTTGCCTCATACTTGTAGGCCAAGAAAGTATGAGGACAAAAAAGCAGAGTCTGGACTATCTGCCAGAGCGGGAGCTGCTCAGACTGTTCCCCACGTAAGGAAGCCATGTTCAAGTTAGGCCCATTTCACTTGAAGGCAGGGAATCCAGAAAACCCTGTTCCAAATTTTGGAAACACAGTAGGCCCTCCACTTTGTTTTTAACTGGATATCATGGAAAACTAAATGGTCAAAGAGGAGTGCCCTGGTGGTTCAGTGGTTGAGCATCTGCCTTCGGCTCAGGTCGTGATCCCAGGGTCCTGGGATCGAGTCCCACACTAGGCTCCCCGCAGGGAGTCTGCTTCTCCCTCTGCCTATGTCTCTGCCTCTCTCTCTCTCTCTCTCTCATGAATAAACAAAATCTCTTTAAAAATATAATAAATAAATAGTAAATAAATAAATGGTCAAAGAATTAGAGAAAGTAGCAAAATGACCCCATGTATCCCTGACTTCAGAATTTCACCAGTGATCAACATCCTATTCTTGTTTCGCCTATCCTTTTCCACACTTTTGTGCTAGAATATTTAAAAGCAAATTGTAGAAAACATAATGGATTCACCTATAAATGCTTCAATATCTATCTCTTTCAAAAAATGGAAAACCAAAACAAAATAAAAAGTGATTCCTCAAGGGACGCCTGTGTGGCTCAGCGGTTGAACATGTGCCTTCGGCTCAGGTCATGATCCTGGGGTCCTAGGATGGAGTCCCAGATCGAGCTTCCCACAGGGAGCCTGCTTCTCCCTCTGCCTGTGTCTCTGCCTCTCCCTCTTTCTGTGTCTCTCATGAATAAATAAATAGATCTTTTAAAAATGATTCCTCAATATTATCTAGTATCGAAAACTTATTTTCTTTCTTGGTTACCTCAAACATGTCTTTTTACTTTTTTTTTTTTTTTTTTTTTTTCAAATCAGGGTCCAAACAAGGCCCGTGTATCACATGGGGTTGAGAGGTCTATTAAATTTCTGTTAATCTATTAGATTTCCTTTCCTTATTTGTTGTCATCTATTTTCTGAAGAAATTGAGTCATTTGTCCTGTGAAGTTTTCCTCTTTGTGAATTTGGCTGTCTTAATTCCATTTTGTTGTTCGTCATGTCCCTCCATGCCCTGTGCTTGGTGTAAATTGGAGTTTAGATTAGAGGCAGATTGTTTTCTCCCACCTTCTCTCCCCCCCTCCTCCCTTGCTTTCTCTCTTTTTTAAGATTTTATTTATTTATTCATGAGAGACAAAGAGAGAGAGAACGAGAGAGAGAGAGAGAGAGAGAGGCAGAGACACAGGCAGAGGGAGAAGCAGGCTCCATGGAGGGAGTCCGATGTGGGACTGGATCCTGGATCCCGGAATCATGCCCTGAGCCAAATGCAGATGCTCAACCAGCAAACCACCCAGGGGCCCCTCCCTCTCTCTCTTTTGCCTTCCTCCTTCCTTCCCTCCCTCCTCTCATTCCTTCTCTTTTCTCACCACCGGAACAGTTCTCCACCTCAGAAGGGGCAGTGTCCATTTAATGACTGAGCAGGAGTTTCAGGATGCATCAGCCTCATGCTCGTACCCTAGAGATCTCCAGCCTCCTTTGCACTTTGTAATTTATCACTCATTGCTTATCCTTTTCTGGACCCACTAGGGCTTTCACAATGATGACTTTTTACAACTCTCACACTCTTCTGCTTTTGTTCATTATAGCTTCTCTGTAAAGATCTTTAACCTCTGTGTGTGTGTGTGTGTGTGTGTCTCATGAATAAATAAATAATTTTTTTTTTTTTTTTTTAAAGGAGGGTCAGCCCAGTTGGCTCAAGCGGTTTAGCGCCGCCTTCAGCCCAGGGCCTGATCCTGGAGATCCAGGATCCAGTGCCACTTCGGGCTCCCTGCATGGAGCCTGCTTCTCCCTCTGCGTGTGTCTCTGCCTCTCTCTCTCTCTCTCTCTCTCTCTGTCTCTGTGTGTGTGTGTGTGTCTCCCATGAATAAATAAATAAATAAAATATATAAAAAAGATCTTTAACCCATACACTGTGGTTGACCCATTCACTTTGAACCCTGACCCACTGATCTGACTTAGCTCCTCCTCCTCCTTTGGGAAGACACAAGTAAGGGATAAAAGACATCAGTAAGCTGCCCCTCCAGGGCTCCCTCTAGGAGAGGGAGCCTTACTAGATGGGCCAAATTTTTCTTTATCTCTTCAAGGTTCACAGGCATGTGTATGAGGCACAGGGTTAGAGCTGCACCCTTGGGGAAGGAGCTTGCCTTACTGCTGCCTCGCTTCTACAGACCCACCTGGGTGCCTCTGTGTGTCCTCTTGGACCAGAGCAGGGCACTTTAACTTTCCCCTAGAAGGCTCTGAAAGGAGGTAGAACAGACGTTAATAACTACAAGGCCATGTAGCACTTGAAGGTAAACCTTCACTTTCTGTTCTAATTTTATTCTTAAATTCTACCTAGCAAGGCCCTTGGATATAGTCCACCTGATGCTCCATGGTGAGTCCAGGTGATATCAAATGATACAA